CCTTGCACAAAAAACAAAAGAACAAACAAGCCAAAAAAGATAGTCCATACTGTTTCTCATAAAATAGCCCTTCAAGTAAACTTTGTGCGTGTTTATGATATGGGCTAGGTTTGAAACTCAGAGCTTTGTGTGTGCTAGGCAAGACCACTGAGATAAAGCCTCAGGCTAGTTAATGAAGAACCTGTGTGGTGGTGTATTCCACTTAAATCCCAGCTCTTGAGAGGCCGAGGCAGGAGACTTTGGAGTTCAAGGAGAGCCTATGTTTCCTAGTGAGATGTCTCAAGCAACCAAACAAGTCATCTCCAGCAAGACTTCCTGGAGAATTTGGGAAGAAATTCAGATGGCATAGGCTATATATTTGGTTTTGGCACTCTAGGGCCACCTGCAGGCAGCATCTATGAATACCTTCAGATTTTAGGAACTATACTTTTGGAAAGATGATGCTTCCTTTGGATAGGGACACAGCCAGGTAGAGGCTTGTCTGCTTCTCTGGCTCTGAACTTAGCCTCTCTACCCACAGTACCGGGGCAAGTCTGATTGGAAGAACAGTGTCATCAGTGGCTGCATCACCGGGGGAGCTATTGGTTTCAGAGGTTAGTGTTGTTCTCCAGTGCTTTTCCTTTGTGTCCTGAAAAATGTGCTGACGTGGACATTGCCGGTGTAGAAGCTTGCTAGTGTGTACATCAGGATTTCTTGTTTTGGCCACTACTGCTGGGTTTGCAGGGCATCGGCCCTATGCATTGTGGGGTCTTTAGTCAGATGCTAACAGCACCAGTTGAAAGTGTCTCCCAGTTGTCCAGAGTTCCCTGAGGGGCAAATTTATCACCCACCTACAAGCCCCTGATTTAGCTCTTTCTAAGAAAATAGAACTGTCCTTTACTGAGTATATGGGACAGCTTCCTTCCAATGAGGACATAGAGTATATTGGTGAATTAGCATTTTGTGTGTATGTGTGTGTGAGTTGGTACTGGAGCTTGAACTCCTGGCCTTTTGCTCTCACTTGCACTTAAAGCTTGCACTCTGGGGGCTGGGAAGTTGGCTCAGTGGTAGAGCGCTTGCCTTGCATGCCTGAGGCCCTGGGTTCGATTCCTCAGCACCACATAAGCAAAAAGAAAAAAGCCGAAAGTGGCGCTGTGGCTCAAGTGGTAGAGCGCTAGCCTTGAGCTGAAGAGCTGAGGGACAGCGTCCAGGCCCAGAGTTCAGGCCCCACGACCGGACCCCCCCAAAAAACAAAAAAAGCTTGCACTCTGTTACTTAAAGTGCAGCTCTACTTTTGTGGCAGCCACTCAGCCCTGAGCAGCCCATTTGTCCATATGCAAGGCTGGACTACCAGGTCTAGGCAGCATTTTTCTTAATTTTACATGGTTTTCAATTTTTTGTTTGTTTTGCAGTGCTCTGAATAGAAGCCTAGGTCTTACAAATGCTAACTATGTACTCTACCACTAAACTACACTCCAAGACCCACCTGTCAGTTTTAATTTTGTATATTCATTTTAAAAAGCAATGTCTTTTATAGTTGGAGATTCTGCTCATTAAAAATTTAGTACAGGTGCCAGGGTGCTGGTGGCTCATACATATAATCCTAGCTACTCAGGAGGCTGAGATCTGAGGATCATGATTCAAAGCCACCCTGGGCAGAAAAGTCCTTGAGACTCTTATCTTCAATTAACCACCAAAACAGTGGAAGTGGAGCTGTAGGTCAAAGTAGTAGAGCACTAGCCTTGAGCTAAAGAGCTCAGGGACAATGCCCAAGCCCTGAGTTCAAGCCCTACAACTGACCCCATCCCCTCCCCCCCAAAAAAAAATTCAGTACAGGTGTTCTAGAAATGTTAGATTATCCATTGTAAACAACCAAGAAACCAATTTCAGGATTTTCCCTGTTGGAATGCTTATCAGGAGGCCTCAGGGTCTTGACTGGCCTAGATGCAGTCTACCTACCCTCTGTAGGTAACACCTACTGAGCAAAATGTCACTGGTTTCCTGCGAGTGGATGGTTTGCTGTCACTAAAGCCTGCTTTTGCTCCTACATAGCCATGTGTAATTTATAGAGTGACTTCTCCTTTGGTCTTCCTGCTGCTCTGCTTTGTCAGGGCCTCCGAGAAGCTCAGCTCCCTCCAGGACTGCTTTGATCACTTTCCCAGGAATTTATTCCATAAACAGTTCGGGTAAAGGCCATATGCTTTCATTTGATTCCAAGGGCTGTTTCTCTTAACCAGTTTCCTGCCTGTGAGGGGCTATTTCCATAAGACTAGCAATAGTAATTCTTTGGAATGAGAAAACTTAGGCAGATGTATAGTTAGATGAAGCACACTGGCTTGGATCCCATTCACTGCTTCATTGAAGTCTTACAGCTATCTTAGATGGCATTCCTGTAATGACTGCACATGCTCTGAGCTGGGTACTTTGCATCTGTGGGTATACACTTGTGCTTGCAGCCTGAGTTCGCATCTGTCATCGTGGGTCAAGTAACGTTACTTGTGTTTGCTTTACAGCTGGTGTAAAGGCTGGGGCCATTGGCTGTGGAGGTTTTGCTGCTTTCTCTGCTGCAATTGATTATTACCTACGGTGAGAGGAGTGGTCTAAGGGGAAGGATGCTGCTGGCCAGGATGGAACTGTTCTTTGAAGAACAGTTTCTATACTACTTGGTATTACTTCAGGAGCAATGGAGCTGAATTGTTGGTTTTTCCTTCATATGGCTAATGGTGTGAGAGAGCCACCAGGCTGTTCTCTGCCTCCAGCCTGTAGTGTGTCCGCTCTGCCGCTCCTGGACTCCAGCCAGGAGCTGGGCCATGTCAGATTGACTTCTTCAAGCCTGTCAGGAGGTAGCTGGTTGACTGTATGAATTATGTTCTACCCACGCTCGGTCCTGACCACATCTAACTCACTAAGTTGTTTGATGCTGTGGGTACAGAAGTGGCAGCGTTTACCAAGACCCAGGAAGCACTTCTGCCTTGGAACTCTATGCAAAGATCCATCTTGTACACTAAGGCAGGGAAAAGTACATTTATGCCATCCAGCCAGTGATGTCATTTTCTTTAGTATTTTGCCATCCTTGTTAAAAAATATATCTATCTATATATATTTATATCATAGTTTGAAAGGCTGATTTATTTGTATGTAAATTCCACAGCCCCTCCCCCCCTCCCCCAGATGGTACCCCATGAGTAACAATTCAGTGGGAAAGGGATAACCTTGAGAAGTCTGGCATTGTAACACCCACAAGCTCATCACACAGGGCAGTCGTTCCCCAAAAAGCCTGGCCTGGCTGTTGTGTAGCTGTGTAATTTTGCTGCCTTGCCCTACCCAGAGCTTGCTGTATCATGGTCGGGCTCAGGCTCAGGCCCAGGCTCTGGCCCAGTTCAAGGATCTGTGTGAAGGTCCTGTTCTGGCCTGGCCATAGCTGTTAGCAAGATGAGCTGTTATTAAGGAGCTATTCCCACTACCCTTGTTGTCCAGTCTTTTTTTTTAAACCTCAGTCTTTTTTTTTGTTTGTTTGTTTTTTGCCAGTCATGGGGCCTGAACTCTGGGCCTGGGCGCTGTCCCTCAGCTCTTCAGCTCAAGGCTAGCACTCTACCACTTGAGCCACAGCACCACTTCTGGCTTTTTCTGCTTATGTGGTGCTTAGGAATCGAACCCAGGGCCTCATGCATGCAAGGCAAGTACTCTACCACTGAGCCACCTTCCCAGCCCAAACCTCATAGTCTTAAGCTGTTGACAACAGCTTATTCTAATTGTGCACCATGGTAAGTATAGCTTTTTGTGATTGGCTGCTTTTTTCAGGTGTATTTGTGGAGATGAAGTTGATGACACAGAGTTTGCCTCCTGCAGGCTAGGCTGGTGGTGTGGTGAATGCTATGTAAGGCTGTGTCCAGCCCGTGATCCTTTTTTCTTCCTATTACACAGTACCTCCTCTGCCTTTGCTTTGTTTTGTTTGCTTTCTTCTTCCTCTTCCCTGCCTCCTAGCTTACTCACCCTAAGCCAGCACTAGACTGGGCTTCCACATGCAGGCGTCCCAGTGTATTTGTGAGTGACAATGTCAAACCTGGCTGGTGACAGTGTTCACTGTTTCCTAGGAAACATGAGCTAGTGCACAGGGCTCCCAGCCTTCTGGCAAGTTCTTGTTCTGCATTGTGGGGGGAAAACTCAGGGCATTGCACCCTGGCTTCCTCCTGTCATGCACTCTGTATGATGCCTATCCGACTCTCACAAGTCTGAGACTTCATTCTCATCAGGCCAAAGTGTCGTCCAGAGCTTTGAGAACAAATTACCTCCTGCATTGTCCTGAAACACTTTATCCTTGAGCCCATTTGAAGTGAGGTACCTGTGGAAGTGATGCTTGGGCTAGCTTTACCAGCTTTTATGCACAGGAGGCCTAACACCACAAATGCTGCCCTGGCAACTGCATTGGCAGAGATGAGCCTGGAGGCTGTCAGTAACACATCACTTCCATAAGCTAAGCCTTGTCCACACGGACTGCTGAATCAAGAGAGGAGATGAAAAGCTTCCTGTTTCGGACGGCTGAGGAGCCAATATGAGCTCATAAACCAAACAGCAATTTGCAGAGACATCTGTTCTCCATCTCAAGAGTAAACACTGCAGAAGCTCAGGTTGGTGGGGGCCTAACCCCATGGGCTTTCCCCAAGGAGGGTGGGCACTCTAGGAGATGCAAGTCTCTAACAAGTTGGTTAGAGCAAAAGGCTGCCCCAAAGATGGTGCTCCAGGACACACTGACGGTGAGCTCTGTGAAGAGATGTGTGCTTCACGAACCACACCACAGTGACAACAGCAGCCAGGCTGGCAGCAGGCCGGCGCCGGTGTGAAGAGCAAGGAGGTTTGGCCCACTGCCTCCACACTGCTGCAGGCCAAAGGGAAGGCTCAGGGACAGCAAGGTAAACAGGTTCCTAGAAACACATCTGGATGCAGCTGGAAGAGTTAAATATTTAGATTAGTGCTGGGCCTTCCCTGTACTAGTAAGAACACAAACATTCATACCGCAGGGCTGAGTTTTGTGCAAATGTTGGGACTTTGCATTTTTTTTTATTAACATTTTCCTCTCACGTGGTTTACATCAATTTATAATCTACATAAATTGAAACAGAACAGAGACAAAAAAAATATATCCTTACCAACTTATTAAAGTCAAATATTAATGAAGGGTCCCGTCCTACCTCCATCAACAAAAACTGGTAACCCTCAGCCACTGCTCAGCGAGGAACGCATGCCTGGGATTCCTGGAGCCTGTCTCCTGTTGGCACACCCTGCCATGCAGGAGTGATTAGGGGTTCTAGGCTGCAAGGTCTCTGTCTCAGGAGAACCCACAGGGTTATTTCCTTAGTGCAGCTCAGTCCAGCTCTGGCATGCAGTCCTCCTCACACAGGGTGCATTTCTCGGCCCTTCCAGCCTTCCACCTTTTATACTGACCAAGTTGGGGCTGCAACTAGCTCACCTTGAGCCTCTAATCTGTTATTCTTGATCCTTTGGAAGCAAGAACCTGTAACTACACATCAGCACCCATCCCTAAGTAGACATTGGAGGAATTATCAGCTGCTGGGGTCTTAATGCTCAAATGGCATTCTTCTTTACCTCTTGCCCCAGAGAGCAGGGCTCCTTGCTAAACTGCTAATGGGCAGTTGAGTGGTTGGCATTTCTTTCCTCTATATGTATGTAGACTGTTCTGCCAAAGGCAGTAGAAAGGGCCCTGCCTCACCCAGCAAGCACCGCAGCTTTGGGGCCAGCAAACTTCTTCAGACTTAGTCCTGAGCATACACAATGGGAACTGTTCCCCTCAATCCTGGGGGCCAAGAATCAGCTCTGCAACACACAAGAGCCTGAGAGCTTTGGGAATAAATCTGTTTTCCAGTACTGAGCAATGGCTGTCAAAGTTGGGATGGTACCTGCTAATCCCCTACTTCCAGTCCTGAGAGGCATGCCTAATTCCTCATCCTCCCCCCGCTTCTGGAATTCCCCAGCCTTTATTCTCAGGCTGCCTACAGAAATGGGGGCGAGACAGGAGCAGCACTGCCGGCTGGTAGCTGCTAGCGGTTGGGTTGTGCCTGCCTTTCCCAGGCCCGCAGCACATGTGGTGGTGAGGGCTGCCCGTGGCAGTGCTTGGCTGTGGAGAGTGTGTGAAGTCTAAGGCAAAAGTACCACGAGGTATGTGTGGTGCCAGACAGCCTCCAGGATGGAGCCTGCTCCAGTCTGGACACCTGCTTCAGCCACAGAAGTTGCCTTTCAGGAAGGCTTCTGCAAGTCCTTCCTTCTTAGAGCAGCTTCCCCTTGCCGCCTGCTGCTGGTGCTGCTCAGCACTGGCCCCCTGTGCTGTCCTAGTCCTTAGCAGCCTGGTTCTCCACATCCCCATAACCCACATCCCCACATGCTTTCCTAACCCTCTGTTCTCTTGGTAGACCACTTGTGGGCCTTTACAATGAAAGGAAATAGAACACCGGGGAAAAGGAACTGAAAAGTCAGTAGTAGAAGAAACAAAGTGCCTCACTGGTAGGCAGGAGACAGAACCAACCCCAGAAATGGCGACTCTCAGATGGAAAGTTCCAGAAATCAGCTCTCCAGCTCTGCTGAGGATTAGTGTGAGTCTGTCTCCTTGTCCAACATTTGCACAGGTAGCAAGGCAAAGCAGGTGTGCCTCCATGGGTGGAAGGCAGGGAGAGGCCGAGGGTAGTGTGCAGTGGCATCAAATGGCTGCCACCGCCACCCAGGGCTTCCGCAGAACTTTCCAGGTGATGAAGCGAAACCCGAGGCCGCACATGCATGTGGCAGGCTGGGAAGAAGAAGATGGAGGACACTGAGGGGGGGCTGAGATCTGGGAGCAGGGAGGGCCAAGAGAGAAGCTGGCAGCAGTTACAGAGCGCAAAGTAAAAGCCCTTGGACTGGACTCGGGAAGAAAGAAAGTTAGGGAAAATGAAAGAACAGAGCAGGCTGCCCGTATGCCCACACCAGGTCGGTCACGACCTTTTCTGCATGACGAATATACATAAAACAATTGCTGAACAGCACGGAGCATCAGACACAACTCGAGGTACAGAGGGCAGGAGCGGGGGTGTGGCGATGAGGCTGGGGGCTGGTCAGCTGGCTTTGTACAGGTGGCACAAAGGATGCACATAATTCCAGTTCTTGGAAGTCAGCTTCCCTTGGAGTCTGGAGTTCTGGGCTGGGGAGTTTCTGTTGCAGTCTTTCAAGTCTGTATTGGGCCTGGGCTGCAGGGGCTGGCTCTGGCCACCCCAACAGCTGCCCTGCCTCGGCTACACGTCTGTGGAAAAGTACAGTGTATTCCGCTTCAGTTCTGCGAAGGAAATGGGGGGATGCTGCAGGTAGTAGAGGAGGACCTGGACCTGTAGGGAGAGAGGGGAGACTGAGGTTGGAGTCCTTGCCCTCCCTCCACCTAACCTGCTGAGCGGAAATGATCTCTGAATCAGGGCCAAGTCTATGCTGTCCTCTGCCACTGTCCCCTGCTGGCTCTAGCCACCTCCCTTTCCTTGGAAGCCTAGATGATTGTCCATTTACAACACTAGAGGGCGCTGCAGGGCAGAGGGCGGAGAGAAGCCTGGAGCCACTTCTGCATGTAAGATGAAAGCTTCCAACCTGGACCTGATGTTGGCTTTGGTTTGACAGTTTCCCTGAATCTTGCAGGAATTGCAAAGAAGCTTCCTGACTCCAGAAGCAGCTCCAGGGCTTTGATGCATGAGGACAAGGCCCTCAGAATCTTCTGTGCCCCTGGCTGGCTTACTTGCTTTCCTCCTCCCACTTTCTCTTCCTTCCTGTATTAGGAGTTGAACTCAGGGCCTTGTACTTGCTGCTGCACAAGTGCTCTACCACTTGAACCACACCCCCAGTCCTTCTGATTTCATGTAGGGTCTCTAGCTTTTTGTGGCCTCAGACCATGATCCTACTTCCACCTCCTGAGTAATTGGGATTACATGTGTAAGCAACCATTCCTAGTGTGTATATGAGTCTTGTTCTCTGCCATCTGAGCTTTCTGAGACTGAGGCACTCCTGGTACCTGGAATATTCTCTAGGCAAGCCTAGACTCATACTTTTGGCCTGGGAAGGGAAGGATATTCCATATCCCTGAGCCTAGTGACAGTCTATAGGTGACTAACCCAGCTGACAGGAGGAGAGAGGTGTGAGCACTCTGCCATTCTCTCTACCCCTCCACTGGCCATAGTCCTGAGCAGTGCTGGTGGTACCTGTGCCATGACATCATGAGACCAGATGTCTGCAGCCGATGTGAGATGTGCTTTGCTCTCCACTTCTGAGGGTCTCAGCAGCGTGGGACCAAACACAGTGGCCAGGTTGTGAAGTGACATTTTGTTGATGGGTTCCTTCTCGGCAACCCTGAGAGGGAAGTAGGGAGAAGAGAGAAGTCTCTAGAAGTTACTCCTTAGCAGCCACTTGGATCCCCCAAGACCCAGAGTGACTCAGGGCAGCTGTAGGATTCCCAGGATCCCTTGCAGCTAGAGACCTGCTAATGGCAAAGACACTAAGCCAAGGGACTCAGGCCTTAGTTGTGTCCCAGTGTGCCATCCTCCCAGCCTCCAGGTCACCTGCTGAACTGATAATAAACTGCCAAGACCAGAAGGAGCCGCAGCCAGCAACTACAATGCCCTTGCCATAAGAGACTGCATGGCTGTTCTAAGAACACTATCTGAAACAATTCGTACTTGTCAGTTTCATCATCCCATGGAGGAGATGAAGAACCAAAGTAAGGGGAGGTTAAATGTCTAAATCTGAACCTGGTCAGTCTGCCTAAGAACCTATGCTTTTAACCGCTCTGCCCTTCACCTAGCATCCAACAGCCCAGCTGTGGGAGTGGCCAGAGGGACAGACTGTGACAGGGCAGGCAGGGGCAAGGCAGAGAGGACCTGGGGTCCGGCAGCAATTGCTCACTAGACCCATGGTTCCGCCTGCTGTGCTAACCACAGTCAGGCTTGGGGGCTGTCCTCCCCAGGCTCCACAGGGTGGGCTCATGGGACCACAGCTGTTGGTCTCCCTTTGGATTTTCCATGTTTCTCTTGCATAATAGACCAGATGCTCTGTCAACACTTCCCTTGAGTGACAGCAGGAGCTGCCATCTGTGGCTGGTGTCCAGCCCTAGTATTACCATGAAGCTCTGAGCCTCCCTCCCAGCTTAGGAAATATTCCTGGAGCTGAGACACACCCGCCTTGGGGACAGCTTCCCCATAACCTTATAACATCATCCCCGCCCTCCAGGCAGGAGCCAGGGATGTGCCTGCCGACTGCTTTGGAAACAGGCAAACAATACGATGTCAGCAGGCAGCTGTGCAGTGGACCAGTCCCTCAACACACACACACACACACACACACACACACACACACACACACACACACACACACGGGCCAGTCCCTCACCCCCCCCCCCCCATAGAGCCAAGTAGGCCAGTCCCTCACCACACAGACACACACACACACACAGCCAAGTAGGCCAGTCCCTCACCACACACACACAGACACACACAGACACACACAGACACACACACACACACACACACACAGACACACACAGAGCCAAGAGCCCAGATGTGGGAACAGATTGCCTAGTTCCCAGGGTGGAAAACCTAATGAATTTTCCCTTCCCACTCCTCCACTGTGCATCCTCCCACAACACTCGCCAAACTATTTGAGAATTGGTTAGGACTCTGGCCCTGGCCAAACCAGAGGGAAAATATCTCATAATGGGAAAAACAAGACACCAGGCCCAGCAGCTCCCTGTCTCTGCTGGCCCTCCTTAGCCAGGCCTGGCTGAAGCAGGTACCTGGGCCCAAGAAGGGGCTGAGCTAGGGTGCAGAATATCCTGATTCTGGCTGGGAAAGGGATTTAAGGAATACCCAGCGACTTCTCCTCCCCAGCACACCTGGGATTAACCTGAGTTAAAAATGTGTCCTGAGGATACCTTGGAGCTCAGCTGCAGTGCTGAACATGGTGGTGGGTATCAGCTTGACCACAGAAAGGGTGAGGGAAATCAAGAAGGGTCTTAGTTAGGATCTGGATTATATGGGTTCTAAGAACAATTCTGTTAATCCCAAGAAAGTTCCTGTTGGTTAGGGACTCAGTTTCCCATCTGTCCCAGGAGGTGTGGGCTAAGACCAGTGGATTTCAAACTTTTGACAATGACCCACACTACAAACACATTTGATGTTGTAACTCAATACTTCTATAGGAAATTAAAATACTTGTGCTTCCTGCCTGCAGCGCACCTCCAAGCTTCCCATTCTACTTCACTTAAAAATGCTAAACTGACTGGTCACTGACAAGTGGGGGCCTAAGTCTGTGGTGTTCTGCTGTAGCCTGCTTGGGTTCTCATCCTCCCCCTGGCTGAGCCCTGCCCCATTCAGTACCTTTTCAAGTGTTCCAGCAGGAAGAGGAAGGTGATGAGGTTGGGATCGGGCAGGGAGCGGAGCAGGTGCATCATGCAGTTCTCCTTGGCAGCAGGGTCAGACAGGGCTACGGGAGAGAAGAGGCTAGGGCAGGGCCTGCTTGGGACAAGGGAGTATGGGGGGGCACAGGAGGTCGGAGGTTGGGGAAAAGTCCCTGCAAGAGCCCTAGTGGCCTAGAGGAAGATCTTGGGTGAGCCTGAGCTGCAGAGGTAGGTGGTTAGCAGCAGTTCCCCTGGGCACCCCACCAAGGCCTCATTTTGACAGGCAACCTGGCCAGAAGGCAGGCTTTGGGAGCATCCCATTCCTTCCCCCTCCTGTATGGGACATTGTCACAAGTGCCACCCTGACCTCCATTCTATGCTAGATTCAAGCCAGTGGTGACACACCAAGGATGGTTTTCCTGAGGTGGTTCATTCCCTATGGGGGCTGCAATCCTTAGGCCTAGGTATGGCCTAAGTAGGGGCAATTAGGGACCCTTAGCAGAAGTGAAAGGAAGGAGCGGTGCTAGAAGGCTTAATGTGCCATCCTCAGTGTCCTGTCACTGCCCACCTCAGAGCAGTCTTCCCTGAATGTTGGTGTGTCTGGGCACCCAGGTCACGTACAAGGAGGGAAGCACAGAGGGAGAGAGGTTGGCACACCAGGCCCAGCCAATGAAACCTGCTAGTGCCCTGGGCAGGTCAGGCAAGGGAGGCCACAGCTTGTCTCTTACTCAGTACTTCACCATCTAGGGGGCTCTGACTTGGCCCAGCTGACCCTCAGGACCCCAGGGGCCTCACCGATGCCCTCCATGAAAGCTGGGTAAAGTCGGTCTGTGAGGAGGGGCTCTGGCAGTTCCCGGAAGTAGAGCTTGAGGGTGCCTGCAATGGCATTGATGTCCATGTCGCTCAGCATCAGCAGGATGTCCTTGTTATCTACAGGGGACAGGGGAGGTCAGGGACTGTGCGGGCCTCTGAGTCATCACGCTTGCCCTAGTAGCCAGTCCGCGGCCCTGTTCCACTCCCCAGATCTGCCATGAGGCAAACCCTATCCATCTTAGCCTCTGACATCCCTCTAGCAGAACACGGGTAGTGCCCTCAGGTTCTGTGACAACCAGGGGCAGGGGAGCAGGGAGACACAGGGTTGAGGGAGAGAACATGGCCTGTCACCCTGAGTCCCAGAGCCACATTTATGCCACAGGGCACATACCTTCCGGCTAAAACCTCAATTACTATGCTCCTCTGGATTGTACTATACATTTTTTTTTTTGCCAGTCCTGGGGCTTGAACTCTGGCCCTTGGTGCTGTCCCAGAGCCTCTGTGCTTAAGGCTAGTACTCTACCACTTGAGCCACAATGCCACTTCCAGCCTTTTCTGATTTGTTTGTTAGAGATAAGAGTCTCATGGACTCTCCTGCCTGGGCTTCAAACCATGATCCTCAGATCTCAGTCTCCTGAGTAGCTAAGATTACAGGCATGAGCCACTGGTGCCAGTGCCCAGCTGTACTATACATTTTTGACCCCCAAAGTCAGTTCTGACAAAGCCCCAGCTTCCAGGTCACAGAAGACCTATGTGCCAGCACATTCCTGCCCTCTTCCTCTTGTCTACTGGGCTTCCCTGCTGGGCCTGTTTCGGGCTGGACTCACTGCTGCCTGCCCTGTTAGGATTCCTGACCATCGGGTATGCTGCCAAAGCCGACCCTGCAGGACAAGGTACTTATGTGGAGCAGATCTACCCTAGCAAAAAGGGCAGGCATGGGGGAGCCTGAGCCAGCAGGCCCACGCTCGAAGACCTTTAATTTCCTAGCAGCTCATGAGACACCAGGCATGGAAGGGAGGAACACACACCGTGCAGTCAGAAAGGTTTAAGTCCAGGCTCCAAAGTTCTGAGTTGGGCAACCTCTAGTTCTTACCTACTTGCGTTAGAGCAGAGTAAGGGTGAGTACAAACATGCACAGACAGCATACTGGTCTTCCTGTGCATGGTGAATTGCAGGCCACAGGCCCAGCCTCTTCTGTTTCACCCTTCCCCATGGACAAGGCCTTTGGTCTCACTGAGCCCTCCTAACAGCCAGCCCAGCACCTCTTTGCCCTTCCTGGGCCTCCAGACTCACTGGCATCAAAGACAGCCTTCAGAGCCTGGATGTCCGTGGCCACGCCGGATATCCGGTAGATGCCGACCTCCTCGATGCCTCGCTTCTCTACCTCCTCCACACACTGCCGCACGATGTAGGGCACCTTGGAGCGCTCACGCCTGTGGGGCAGGACTGTGAGGGAGATGGAGGCAGCCTCCCACTGCTAGCTGGCCCCCTCCCCAAAAGAGTTTGGCCTTGGGTAGCTGTAGCCTCTGGGGTTGGGAGTGGGGCTGAGGAAGTTGTGCCATCTTGCCTGCCAATGCCTGTCCACTGAGGCACAGCAAGGGAGACGGGTGGGAGAAAGTTCGGAGAGAAAGCCCAATGACTCTGGGGAAAACATGTTCCCTTGGATTTGAATGTTTGGGGGAGAGGAGCCTAGGGCTATAGCCCAGAGGCAGAACACTTGCAGGAATTCCTGGATTCCATCCCAAGCATCCCAAGGGAAAAAAATGCATATGTGTGTGTGTGTGGGGGGCAACAGGTAAGCCACGTGAGGGAGTTGGGGGTCAGCCCCAGAGACAAAGAGCAGTGGGGGGTGACTTAAAGGGTTCTTCCTCAAGGCTACTCCCTAGACTCTTAAGACTCCAGCCTGGGGTCGCTAAGCCCAGATGCAGGCCTGTAATTGTCCATTTTTCCTATTTACTGTAAGAAGTGGACACTCTGGGCTTTCCCCATGGGACCTCCCCTATCCAAACCCCCCTCTCCCCCCACCCCCCTGCTTTCCAAGCTGGCTGTTAACTTTGATGGTATGGAGCAGGCAGAACTCTATGGGACACTTCTGGCCTCCAAACTGGCTACCTGTGACTGGGAGTGGGGGTGAGGGTGAAGGGGGGGGCGGGCGTGACTGATCAGTTACTGCTAGGGAAAAGGAGTCCCAGAGGTGGGACTCTAGTGGAGACCTAGTACAGACACCAAGAACGTGGACCCCTGGAGCAGCACCTACTTCGTCACCACGCTGATCTTCACCCCGAAGACACCAGTCTGCTTTTTGGACGGGGTCCTCTTCAGGCTCATATCCCGGCTGGTGAATTTCATGGAGAATTCCACTTTGATCTTTTTTTTTGGGGGGGGGGGGGGAGTAGACAAAATCCAGAGCATGAGTATCCCAGGAGTGTCCACAGGGGTCTCCCCTTCCCAGGACTGCCAGCAGGACTCCCAGTACCCCAGGGCTTCTGCATCTGGGAATGGAGCAGGTGGGGCAGAAGAAGGTGAGAGGGCTGGACAGGGTAGATGGGAAGTAGAGGCAGAGGCCAGGTGTGTGTGTGTGGGGGGGGGCACACACCCACTGCTTAGACAGCTCTCATCACCCAGGCTCACCCCGTTCATCTCGATCACATCCGTGTGCCAGTTCTTGGTTTCTACAGTTTGTGGATCCAACTGCAAAGAGAAAAGCCACGGAGGCGTGGGGGTGGGGAGACAGAGAGACAGAGGAGGGAGAGAATTAGAATCAATGAGGGGGACAATTCAGAGACCAGGTCAGCAGGCACTCCCCACTGCTGCTCAGCAGCTGCCTTAATTAAATGACTTCAAAATCCACCCTCTGGGCTGGCCAGCACCCTCAGGCTCCTTCAGCTGTCTAACTCTATGAAGGAGATGGGTACCTATCATCCCGCACTGCTTCCTGACAGCACACTGTGAGATGGATATTGTCAGTCCATTTCACAGATGCAGCACCTGAGAGTCACCAAGGTAACCAGTGTGCTCAACCACGTAAATTAGCATTGTCCAAGGAGATCCAACCCCCAGCCCATGCAAGTCGGGGTGTAGTACAAGGCAGAGAGCCCATTCCCAGGAGTGGGGCTTGCCTGGGTTTGAGTCCAGGGTCTTCAGTTTCTGGTGATGGACTTGGGCAAGGTTTGACAGAGCCTCTCTGGCTTGTTCTGAGGACACAGTTTGCTAACAGGCTAACCAGCTTCCACACAGGTGAGCCCTCCTCAGGAAGGCTGGCTGGAGCCCAGGAAGAGTGGCAGTTGGCAGCAGTTAAGGCCTGCCTAACCCCAGGATCATCTGTTCTGCTAACTCAGTGCAGTGTCCTTCAAACCATTTTTCTTGGGTACCCACAACTTGATTTTGAAAACCACGTACTCGCTACCTACATTTTTAAGTCAGCAGCTCAACATTTCTATGGCAAGTTTGAAGAGCTGCAAAGAATATAATTTCCAAAATAATGTAAATATTGACATCTCAAAATACAACACATCGTTCTTTATATGTATGCAGTGGAACCTAATTACCACAGTGATTTGATACCCACTATCATCCACTTAAAAACACCCAAACAAGCTCTTCTTTCTCCTGAACAAACACTGCATTGTCTTTTTCTCCTTGAACTTACGTTTCTCTTCATTTCTCTTCAAGAGATTTCTCTTAGTTTATATTTTTATATTTATTTAGTTCCCTATTATACTTTGCTCCTCAAATATGCACCTATATATTGAAATGAAAGATTCCTTGAGACTACAAGGCTTGAGTGTGTACAGCATATTATTCTGGATTTATTAACATTATTAACAGTGCACTATGAAAATAATCCACTCCAGTACAGACTTGAATAGACACTACAGAACTCTATCTCTGTATTGTAGATAGAACATTTCCACTTGTAGTTCACATCTCTATGAATATTATTTTTGAGAGTAAAATGTGGGTTAGCACCAACTCGATTCATGTATTAGGTTTTATTTTGTTGGGCATAGGGCTTGAACTTGGGCCCTGGCTGCTATCCCAGAGTGCTTTTTTTTGTTTGTTTGTTTGTTTTTCAGTCATGGGGCCTGGGCGTTGTCCCTCAGCTCTTCAGCTCAAGGCTAGCGCTCTACCACTTGAGCCACAGCGCCACTTCTGGTTTTCTGAGTGGTTTATTGAAGATAAGAGTCTCACAGTCTTTCCTGCCCAGGCTGGCTTTGAACTGTGATCCTCAGATCTCAGCCTCACAAGTAGGTAGGATTATAGGTGGGAGCTACCAGTGCCTGGCCTCCCTGAGTGCTTTTACTCAAGGTTAGCACTCTACCACTTTGAGCCACAGCTCCACTTTCGGTTTTCTGGTGGTTAATTGGAGATACGAGTCTAAGGGACTTCCCTGTCCAGGCTGGCTTTGAACCATGATCCTCAGCTCTCAGCCTCCTGAGTAGCTAGGATTAGAGCAGTGAGCCACTGTCACTTAGCTATGTTTTATTTTAAAAGTTGTAAATAGCCAGGTGCTGGTGGCAATTTTGTCTGCCAAAGCAGACAAATCTGAGAGACATTAAGGAGCTAGAAGTGGATCTGTGGCTCATGCGGCACTACCTTAAGTGAAAAAGTTCAGTGACAGCAAGAGGCTCTTTAAGTTCAAGCTCCAGTACTAGTATGCAAATGCACGCACACAGGCAAGTGCACATGCACACACACAGGCAAGTGCACATGCACACACACACACACACACACTGTTGTAAAACAAGCTGTAAACATTTTCTTCACATATCACTAGATGAATGACAGTGTTACAGTATCACTGTTAGGGGAGTCTTTTTTTTTTTTTTGGGTGTGGCCTGAACTCTGGGCCTGGGCGCTGTCCCTCAGCTCTTCAGCTCAAGGCTAGCGCTCTACCACTTGAGTCACAGCACCACTTCTGGCTTTTTTTCTTTTTGCTTATGTGGTGCTAAGGAATCGAACCCAGGGCCTCAGGCATGCAAGGCAAGCGCTCTACCACTGAGCCATCTTCCCAGCCCCTGTTAGGGAAGTCTTAAACTTCTTTCAAGGTTGCCTTAAACATTGGTAGCTCAAACCTATAATCCTAGCTACTTGGAAAGTGGAAATCAGGAGATTACAGTTCCAGACTAGTCTGGGCAAAAAAACAACTTTATGAACCTCCATCTTGAACAGTAACTGTGTTTGGTGGTGTGTGCCTATCATTCCAGCAATGCTGAGAAGCACAAATAGGAGGATCACAATCTAGCCTGTTCTGGGCATAATAGCAAGACCTATCTGAAAAAATAACACACATAGAAAAGGCTGGTAGGCTAACCATTGGGGGCTCATACCTTTTATCCTAGCTCCTCAAGAGACTGAGATCAGAGACCACAGTTTGAAGCTAAACCAGGCAGAAATATTCTTAAGACTCATACCCAATTAACCATAAAAAGCAAGAAGTATAGGAGTGGTACCAGCCATGAACAAGGAAGGAAAAAGCCCTGTGAGAGTGCCAGGCCTTGAGTGTAAGCCCCAGTACTGGCGCAACAAAGAAAACAAAAAGGCTGGTGAAATGGCAGAGTACTTGCCTAGCGTTGACTTCAAACTTCCCAAAAAGAAAAAAAAAATTACCCATACACTTATCAAACATTATTTTAAATGCTCTTGGCTGATAACTGGGTCATCAGATTGGTAGTAGGCAACCTGACTTTCAGAGCCATTAGTGTCTTACTTTCTCAGCACCTCCACTGACATTTCTAAGCCCCTGTGGTGTTACTCTGAGCATCCTGGGCCACACCCTACAGAGAGCCTGGCTTGGCCTAGCACAGGCAGAGGGGGACAATGGTGAGGATAGCATGTTTTCCTGCTCATCTTGCCCAGGGAACTCTCTGCACTCTTACTGGTATGTGTACCTCTAAAAGTCCACTGTCCCCTCAGAAGGGAAAGGAGATCTGGGTCAGCCTAGATTCTTCAGGTACTATCACCTGTGGCAGATAGCTGTGGGGTGGCTGTGGCCCAGGCCCTGTCTTCAGGACTCACTATCCCCCTCCCCCAGGAGGGGCCATGTTGAGAAGAGGAGGCAAAGAAGCAGAGTGAGATGAGACACCATTTGGGAAGAACCCCTGCCCCCCCAGGATCTCCTCAAATAAAGTCAGCATGAGGCAGCCACTGGCTTGGCTGCTGCCAGGGCTCTGGTCTGGGGTATGTGAGGCCAAACAGAAGCCCTGACTTTAGCCTCTCTTTCCTGAAACCTCCCTCCTCTCTCAATTCCTTCGGTCCTTGGCCCTCCCTGGACTTGCTGCACAGACTGCCTCCCTTGGACAGTCTTTCCATCTAGAGGTAGAGGGATAGCAACTGTTCTTCATCAGCAAGATGAGGCAGACAGGTTGCTGGCATATGACCTTTGCACTGAGCTGGAGGTGGGTCTCTCCAGGCCTTAGCAGGGTCTCAGCGTTGGCTTGGTTCACCTCCTGCCCCAGTGTCCCATGACCTGGTACCTCCCATCAGCGGCTCTAAACTGCTGAGCCCATGTGCTGTGTCCTCTCTTTCCTCCCCCTAGTTCTGATGTGATGCATGGACACAGCCTGGCTGTGGAGAGGGAAGGGATGGAGAGCCCTGCTGACTTGACTCTCCTATGTGGGCAGGTTACCACCCCTTCCCAGCCTACCTCACAGGGCTGTGTGACAGTCTGAGCGTTTTCTCTGAGTCTGACACTAACCAAACCGTTGCACACTTGTCAGGAAACAGAGGCCCAGAGAGCAAGAGAAACCCCTCGGGAGCAAGAGCTGAAGCAAAATTAAGTCTTCTTGATGCCCCCTCTCTGAGAAAGCCACTGCACAATGTATATCTCCCCTGCTATCAGCACTTCTTGACAAGAGTGGCAGCTGTGGTCCCCATGATTTACTAGAAAGGGGACAGCAGGCTTCCTGACCTGGGGTCTGGAGTTCTGGCCACTTAGTACATAAACTTCCTGTTCCTCTCCATCACATGGGCCCATTTTCCTGGGACTGTTTGGAGGAACAACTCCTGATGCTAAGGCCCAGTTTTAGTTCCCCTACCTGCTGAGTCCTCTATTTCCCTCTGCCTTATGTTTCCCTCCACAACCTTCCAAGGCCTTTCTGAGGTGGGATCTGGGTAAAGTGCCCCTTACCTGTTTTGTCCTAAGTCCCTACACATTGACATCTTCCTGGCTTGTGCAGCAGGTGTGGCCCTTGTACCTGCTCAGAAAGGCCCAACTCAGTCCCTCAGAACCCTGATGACGCTCTGTTTCCCAGGAGGTCAGCAGCCTCCCAAAGCAAAGTCTATTTCAGGATGTCATTTAAATACAGAAAAAGGAGGGTGGAGAGTGGAGAGGGACATGGCACATTTTCCAGAGCAATGATGTTGCCTGAACTGCTGTGACTATTTATAACCCCTGGGAAATATAGACTCTGCTATTTCCTGATTAGATTAGTGTAGTGTTGGGGTGGAGGACCAACCCCTGGGACTTGAGGGCAGGGATACCTGAGTGCTCACCCCTAGTCCCAAAAGGCAGGTGCTATCTGTGGGGTCTGTTTTTGGGCGGCGGGGTGGGGGAGGTGCAGATCAACTGAAGGAGGGAGACAAATGGGGGCTTGGGAAGGGGTGGGAGGCCCCCCAGAATACCACCAGACCTCCATCAGGATTCTCCCAGGGCAGGGGATAGGCAAGAGACAGAAATGAGGCAGAAAAAA